AAGAGCAGCCGGGGTTGATCTCCTCTAGGACTGACCGGTTGGATGGCCTTGCAGTCCAAAGGGACTCAATGCAGGAGTCTTCTTCTCCAGCACCACAATTTGACCAGGCTGTAAATTGCAAAATTTACAGCCTGGTAATTTTTTTTCAGATTTTGTCCAGAGAATGGCACCAATATTGGTTTTCTCGATTCACACAAGTTCAAAGCTGGCTTGAATCTTTGAATTAGGATCAGAAAGTGTTGTCTGCGGAACAGGAGTTACTGTTTAACAGTAATTCCAGTTTTCAAGTAGCTTTTTTTAGTAAAGCAGAGCCAAACAGATTGACACAATATCTCAATATCAAAGTTGCAAGGGTGAGTGTGTCAAGGCAGCCTCCCTCAGCCACCAAGAAAGAAACAACCACTTGACTCCATCTGGCAGAATTAACTTTTACTGGTCTATGAAAAGACAGCGGCTGAGCAAAGCAAGATCTGAGGCAAAAGCGCGCGAAACCACAGACACCAATACGTGACCCAACCCTCTTCCCCTGGGAACCCTCATCCCACAGTCCAATCTGCGAATCCCTCAGGTGTCAGGTGAGTCCCATCTTCGAAAAGCATCATCAGGCTGGTATGCAGGACAGGTGGCCTTGGCGGCTCCCATCACTATCTCCAGCACGGAACTAAACTCCCTTTTCACAATCTCTCCTGAGCTTGTCAATCAGAAAGGTTTGAATCCCTCGTGCCGCATAACGGAGTGAGCTCCCGTGACTTGTCCCAGCTTCTGCCCACCTAGCGGAAGCAGTTCAAAAGCACATAAACATGCAGATGGGAAAATGGGGACCACCTTTGGTGGGAAAGGAACAGTGTTCTGTGCGCCTTCGGCATTCGGTCATGCCGGCCACAAGACCTCGGGGACGTCTTGGGACAGCACTGGCTCTTTGGCTTTAAAACTGAGATGAGCACCATCGCCCCCTAGAGTCGGGAACGACTAGCAGAGATGTGGGAAGGGGAACCCTGACAAGCAAAATCAATGCGTCAGGATTTTAAAGAATAGATCCATAGCAAGCTGAATTCCGAGGCAGGTAGATTCCTCAAAGAACAGTTTTATTAGAAGTATCATGTTGGCACATATCTGGTGAAAGCCGACTCTGTGACTGTATGGCTCCCGCTCCCTCAAGGAACCTCGAAACATTCTTAAAGATCCTTCTCATCCCACCCCGGACAGCCTTTTTTTGAACTATTTCCATCTAGCAGGACAATAAAAAGAAGGTCAGATAGGCTGAAAAACAGCTTCTATCCCAGAGCAGTAACTATATTGAATTCTAGAGTATAAAAGGTAAAGATTCCCCTCGCACGAATGTGGTAGTCATTCCCGACTCTAGGGGGCGATGCTCATCTCCGTTTCAAAGCCAAAGAGCCAGAGCTGTCCAAAGACAGCTCTGTGGCCATGTGGCCGGCATGGTGGCATCAATGCTGAAGGCGCACGGAGCGCTGTTCCCTTCCCACCAAAGGTGGTCCCTGTTTTTCTACCTGCGTTTTTCACATGCTTTCAAACTGCTAGGTTGGCAGAAGCTGGGACAAGTCACGGGAGCTCCCTCCGTTACGCGGCACGAGGGATTTGAACCGCCGACCTTTCTGATCGACAAGCTCAGCTAGCCACTGAGCCACTGCGTCCCTACTGTATAGTGCACTATTAATGCAATATTAGGGGTTTTCAATTTAATTGTATAGAATGTGGGTGTGTCTTTTTGTTTTATTTTTATAGTTTCCTTATATATGATGTATGCACTGAAAATGGCATTCAATTTCATTGTAGAGGTGCAATGACAATAAAATAAGTTAAATTAAATTAAACTAAATTGACTAACTAACTCTAAAGGTTCCCACAGTTATCACTTGGTTAAAAGAGAAAGTTTTCCCACAACCCCAAACAATCAGTCCAATCTTGTTGTCTGGTGACCTCCTCCCTCCCTCCCTCCCTCCCTCCACGGCCCACGTGTGAGAATGTCCTTGGTTCTCAAGAGAGAGCACTTTGTTTTGGCTACACAAACCCTTCTATCTCTAATCCCCCCTCCCGTTCCCTCAACTCCAGTGTGGCAACATGGAAGCTCCAATATGGAGGTCAGCTTCAGGGTTGACACAATGAGGAAATTTGATTCACTTAACAACCATGTTACTAATGTAACTTC